TGTATAAAAATTGGTGTATTTCAAAAATAAAACTATGAAGACGCTCAAAATAAATTTCCTGTGGTGGGAAACTATTTTGTGCAACTTTTTTGTATTTCCAGTTTTGAATTTCTCTAACTAGAAATGTATGTTAAAAAAACAAAAACGATTTGTTTGTAGTTTATTGCACTTTTTTGCAATTTATGTAATTACTATGCACTTAATGCAGACATATTATTAAAATTTGGGCTATAATGGTTGTATTGATGTATAGCAACTTGAAATGCTCCCAAAAATGGCTCCACAGCATGTAAAAATATAATATAAGCTCTGGCGGACTTGGTTCTATGGTAGGTCTTAAAGGGTCAATACTTCCATTACCATGCTGCTGCATGGTAAATGTACAAATTGTATTACTTTTTATTAGAATACCTATTTTTAATATTCTCTGAATATTTTCAGTATGTTTTAGGCTTAGAAGTGATACCATGCACATGCTAAAAATAAGTGTTTATTATAAAATGAACATAGTCTGAAAGTACACAAAGTATGTCCCAAAGGTCAAGAGTTCCTCTTTAAACTCCAGTGGCTATTTTTTTAGCATTGAATGTGATATTTTTGTATTATGGTGAATCTGTTCATCATTGTCAGGTGGTGTTATTGTCATAGATGAGCGGTTCTCAGACTGTGGTGTGGGCCCCAGTGCTGGGTCGTGGAGTTTTTTGATGTTTAGGGAAAATTAATAAGCCAGAATTTAGTGGTGCAGTCACACTCATGTTTATTTAAGCAACATTCAGTGTTGATTATTGAGTAAAACTTCAGATTCTGAGGTGGGGAAAGCCAGAAAAGGTTGGAGAACCGGTTTCATAAATATTTATTTTGTTTTCACACACACAGCCAATCCATGTTCACAGCATGCCACAAAAATACATTCTTCAATCCACGTCATAACTCAAACTGAACTCTTTACTGGGCCACAGCAGATCGGTTCTAGGACATTTGCAGCAGTATAAGGGGGCAGATGGTTTTACGCTGGGAGGTTGCTCCTGCTCCAGTGCACTAGTTTCATCATGTGTGGATAAAATAGCAACATCAAGACCAAATGTATGCTTACAAAAAAATAGATAAATAATCAGACAATACTGCTCAATGCTCAAAAGCCAAATAGTTATTTTGTCTTAAATAATAAACCAATCTATCGTCTAAGTTCCCCACACAGCAGTGGTCTGACAGCACAGATGCAGACTCTCTTAATCTTCCCTAAACACAGCATGGACTGCTTTTTATTGAACGCACCACCAGATATGTCTTTATATGCCATAGAATATCCCACTGAAATAGCACGAGCACCTACTTAAATCATGTAGAGATGGATTTTCCGATCCATCTAAATGATGTAAATTAAGGCTAATTAGTGTGACAGAGACGTTCTTCGCTGCACTGTTTCATGTATGCATTGGCAGAGCTTGCAGTCTGTGCTGAAGGTGCGTGTTGATGACCCTTTGTCTTACCACCTCCTCACGCAGGAACACTGAGTATTATTCAGCTTCATGTAAATACATATTGAAACTCAAAGCCACAAACAAACACACACTCGCAAAAACCTCACAATAATCCACAGATTGATTTACTATATTTAGATGAGGCGTTTTATTTAGAGACCATAACGCCAAATGTGCCCTCACAGATAAATCATCACAGTCACAAGATAACTGTTTTGGGGGGGGGGGGTTCATCCATATTAGTTTATTTGTTGTCTTGACTGTGTTTTAGGGATCTTTGCAGCAAATTCCATGTGCACGCATTTGGGCGAAGTCTAAGGAGCTGGGAAAGAAAAGCATCTGGACTTCTTTAGGTTTCTTGAAGACATTTCATCCAAGAAGCTTCTTCAGTTCTAAGTACTCTTGGTGGAGAGTCCCAAATTTTAAGTCTCCCAGAGGGCCATGGACCCCCTATCGATCCTCTGCCTAATCACACAAACCAAGGTGTGAAAACGGGTGTGGGCCACAGTCAGCCAAGGTTTCGGGTGAACCCATTGTGAAACCTAGCCTCACCCTATCTATCATGTGACTTGCTAAGGTTATAAATGGCCCAGGATGTGAGTGAGCGTGAAGGCGTCTGGGAAGGGACCTCAAAACTGGATTATAGATGGCAGACAATTGCATGTCCCGGATGACTGAGAACCTACACAGACACATTTGGGCATACTTGACTTTTGAGTAGTGACCAGCTGAAAAGGTTTGGCACCAAACAATCAACTTCATTTATGCTTGCAGTAACATTTTAGGTCTACAACTTTTGGAGAAAGCCATCGAACAAAAACAAGCTGTTTAGGTCATCAGCTGATGTCAGATAAAAATGCCTTAAATGGCATTTAAATGCATTTTCACACATATACTTTAATTTCTCTGTTCCAAAATCAGTTGATGGTTTGGTTTCTTTTCACTCTGAGCAAACTTCAATCAAACCAGCATGCGTCACTACAGAATGCTTATTAGCCAGATGTATCTGGGACAGGACCAAGAAATTGACAGCATTTCTAGCACACAATGGCAGATGGTGTAAGCTGTGGTTTGAGGAAGGAGTCAGAGGGGACTGGTGCAGCTCCAGAACCAGACAGAACACCGTGTACTAATGGGAGGTGAATGATCTGAAAGAGGGAGCGAGGTTGGGGCATGTAAATTAGAACAAACAAGCTTGTAGTGCAGTGGGGTCATATATACAATGTGAACTGGAAGGGCAGTCTATGAGGCTCATGGAATTCAGATATGGAGAGTGGGCAATGAACCCTGGACGCTGTGGAGGGTTCATGGTTTCAGTCTTAGGTCTTTGTTTCCCCCGCTGTAAAGAACATGCCAGGCTAGTTCTCCCATCATTCAGTCCTTGTTCCTGCCTTACACCTGGAGCCGGTCCCTGGAAGCTGGAAACAGAGGATGAGATTCCCTGCAGAGATCAATAAATTAAAAAAATAACAATAATAATCAATAAAAATTGATTATTGTGATTTACCTGCAACTCTAATCTTTGACTGGTTAGATGCATGTGTAACCCTCATTTTTCAATATCACGGTTAACAGCACATTTCCATGTAGACTTTAGTGCTAGTTTGTTTACCTACTCTTGTTTGCCTGCCGGGGCTCAGCCTGCCAGCATCTGTGGATCAAACGCAGACACGTCCCTCCAGCCATCTGAGATGAAAAGGAGCTTTTATATTATAAAAAGCCATTAAAGATACAATGATGGTGACAGTGTTTCAGGGTGGAAAATTACTTAACATGATTTCAATTCGACTTGAAGGCATTTAGGTTCAAAGAGAAAGACTTGAAAGTGCACCTTGGCCCAAAACACAAAATCATTAACTTTCAATTACATGTATATATTACTAAATCACCATGATTGTCATCCCAAGGCACTTTTCACAGTAAGGTAAATACCTTTCAGTATTTTAGATGGAAACCTCTATGACATAACTATTCTCTATGAGCAGAAGGAACCTTTTAACAGTAGGACGTCTCCGGTAGAAGCAGACTCTGGGAGGGCAGCCATCTGCCGTGACTGCTTAGAAAGACCAGACAGAAAAGAAGATCTTAGAGAGACAAGAAACAATACAACAATAAACGCTCGACAGGTTGCATCTAAGTACAGAACATGCAGTTCTCCATATACCTGCAGAAAGTGAAGGAGGAGAGAACACAGCACAAGCAGGAGGGAGACGATATATAGGTGCACCTTTGTAGCGACATTGCTAACAGTTTTCAGATTAAAGCGTGCTGTTTAAGGCAGCAGTGGCAGCTGTCACCTGTAGAGCTGGATGATTGTTCAAATACTTTGGGGACCGACACTGAACTCAGTCCATCACAGGGGAAATTTGCCTGCTGATTTTTTTTTTTTTTTTTTTGATGATGAAATTTCCTCAAGACAAAAAAGTGCGCAAAGTAATTTAAAATTCATTTAGAGTCAAAGCCAGCACAATGTTCCTGAGCTGCTTTTTGTCCCTCACGAGTGCCATTAAACCTGCTTCTCACTGGGACTCAACCAGCTCCTCACATGGGCCATTAAAACCTGCATCGCCTCAACCAGCAGGCTCAGCCGGAGTCCCCTCAGTCCTTCTGAAAAATAACATTTTATTTTTATTTATGTTTATCTTTCCTGCAAAACTCAAAAGTGATGGATGATTTATTAAAAGCACTACAGAGAATAAACTGCTGATCGGTATTTGTATGTTTGTTTTGTGGCTTTTTATGTTTGCGTTCTTTGTCTTTTTCTTTGTTTGTTTATAGTTCTTTGTTTTGAAGGAAAACTCACTGCCCAAGATAAGTGGGTCAACCCAGCACTGCATAAAAGAAACCATCTATGTGAGGCAGTATCGCGTATCCTCACTGGCTTTGTTTTATGTTACTTTACTGACCCTGTATTTAAATTCGGGTCCAAAAATGCAAATGATGATGCAGTTTCTGTAATTGTGCCTTTGCATGTCACAGCATTGAGTTTTAAATCAAACAGTCAAGATGTGACTGAAGTACAGGCTTTCAGCTTCAATTCAAGGGGTTTAACAAAAGTATTGCATTAACTGTTGAGGAATTATAGACATACACAGTCCCCTGTTTTTCAGAGACTCTAAAGTAATTGGACAATTGACTGACAGCAGTTTCATGACCAATTGAGGTCTGTTGCCTTGTTATTCCATGACAAGTTAATCCAAACGTTGTATTTTGTAGCTGTTCACAGGAAATTTCAGAATGAGGTGCAGTGAGATGTTGATGCAAGCAGTGTTGCCAACTCCTCAGTAAGGAAAATCGCTATTGGCTGTCCTAAAAGTCGCTAGAAGTCGCTAGAAGTCGCTAAATGATGTCATTGCCTAATTTGCATAATTGGTCATGCTAATGTAATTGTAACCAACATTGTAGACGAGAAAAATAACATCGTGGAAGAGACATAAAGGGAGTAAAAAACGTCCTAAATGCATTTAGAATTTATTTAGAACTACAAATTAAATTTCTTTTAGCAATTATTGTTTTTTTTAATGTCACAATTCCAA